CCAGAATAACTTCGTTGGCTCTCAACCAATCCATGCCCAGGATGAGGTCGACTCCTGACAAAAGTGGTAGGACATATACGCGAACTGTTTCGCTATAGTCCTGTACTTTCATGTCGATATGTGTCTGTCCTTTACTTGGAATGACACGATCGTCACCCAAGCGGATGGGACACGACGGTCCTACAACGAGGACGTTGCGTGTCGTAACCCAAGTTTCATCAACAAGGGAAACCGACGCGCCTGTATCGACGAGAATCCTTGCTTCGTCCCCATTCATGCGTCCAGATAACAGTAGATTCTGTTGAAATCTTGGACGGATGGGACAAGCGACAACAAGTTTAGGAGGTCGAAAGTACACCCTAAATTTGTTGTGAGCGCGTCCAAACCTTTGGGATGTGGTCCACCAAACATGGTGCCCCTTGTCCCATGTTGCCAGGATATGCCATTCGTGAAATCGGCGGAACAACTCTCCTTTCACGATTCGAGTCACCAATCCCACTGACGTGATCGGGTGCTCTTGGACACAACGGTCCACAATATCCATGATTGCTGGCAACTTGTTGAACGAGCAAGAGATGATTGAAATTTTATCTCTCAAGGATTCAATTGAGATGTTTTCAAGTGGGTATGATCGAGTTTTAAAAACAGATTTTTCATTAATAGAAGAGGCATACAAACAAGCGATTTTGCATTATGCAAGCTTCTCTAGCTTTAGCAAATCCTCATCACGAAGGACATAAGCCTCATCTACTCGATCTCGCTCACCAACTAGGTACCCACCCCCTAGTTGGACTTCGGAAAATCCTTCGGGCCCGAAGGGCCAGAACCATCCGGCTTCTTGCCCTGGTTGGGCTTGCCGGAGTTCTTGACGGACTTCCTCCAACGGCAGTGATAGGACTTGTGCCCGAGCTTGCCACAGATGCGGCAGCCTGCCGGGGGCTTATCCTCATCCTGAGGATCCTTGGCAGGCCCAGCATGGGCCCTCTTGGACTGAGTCCCAGAGGATTCCCCCTTCTGCTGATAGGGCCTCTTCCAAGAGCCACTGCCCCTGTGTGCCTGAGTCCTGTTACCACCCCCCCTAGGGCCTTCGGCACTAGGCTGCTGCTGAGCACGAGCGTGAGTCATGTACGCACGGAAATTCACATCCGTGTCAATGACCTGCTCCTTGCACTCCTTGTAGGTCCTCCACTGGTGCTCCCCGCGCACAACATGCACACGCTTGATGTGCTCAGGGAGACCCTTGAAGAACTGGTGGATGACCTCGCTCTCAGGAAGAGCAGTCTTCAGCAGCGACAGAGTTTTCTCAAACTCCTTGGCGTACTCGCGTACAGGCTGGTCACCGCACTGGATGTTCTCCAGGCGGCTACGCACCTCGAGCGCCGGGGGCTGACTCAGGAATGCCGCCAGCATGGCAGCTTTGAACTCCTCCCAGCCAAAAGGATGGCCATTAGCCTCTGCGTGGCGCTTGTTGGCATACACCAACTTGCTCGCAGTGTCGTCCACGGCAAGGGTTGCAGCGACCACACGAGCCTCGCTACGCACATTGTGGATGGACATAAAGTCCTCCGCAATGGAGAGCCAAGTCTCGACGTCGGTCTTGCCATGGACAAAATGAGGCAGGGCCGAAGGGCAGGAGCCAAAGGCAGTTGCTGCTGCAGTAGGAGGCTCAGCACGTGCTCCAGTAGGAGGAGGAACAGCAGGAGGTGCATCAGCAGGTGCAGCACGGCTGTTAGCGGCGTTGGCGACTCGCTCTGCTGCAGGAGCAGGCTGGTAGAGGTTTCCACGCCGGATCTCCCTGTACTGGGTCTGAAGCACAGAGATGCTTTTCTCCTGCTTCTTGAGCTGATCCTGCACGAACTGAAGAGTGTTGTGCAGGTCCTGAATGAGGCTGGAGGTGTCGTTTTCCTTAGGGATCAACTGCACCTCCCTGGTCAGCTGCTCAATAAAGGCCTGAAGCTTAACAGAATCAGCCTCCAAGTTCTGGATACGACACTGTTGCACTCCAATGAGAATATTCTGCTCCGTGAGTTGAGTCTGGAGCTTGACAGCAATGTTCTCAGTTTCATTGGAAACACCCTCATCAGAGCCAGCCTCTTCCTCATTTTCAGCATCAGCCTCAAGGTCAGCTTCACTTCCATTGATCTCCATGTCAACCACGAAATCCTCAAGGTTGAGATCAATGTCAGCAGCAGCAGCAGCATTATCTCCCTCAGTGCCAACAACGGGCACCTCCTTAGTAGCATCCATCTCTTGACCAGCAGCCATGAAACAGGTTAAGGAGAGGAGATCTCAACAGATCTTATAATAATCTTTAAGAAATCTGATTACTCTTATAGAATAATCCAATACAGAATCTCTTAAGATAGACTTGTTTGCCAAATCTCTCTATCACCTCAATGATAGAGCAAGATATACTCAAGAGAGTAATCCTCAACAAGCCCTTTATAGATATGAAGGTACACTCTTCTACACAAAGTAGATCAAGAGTCTTCCACCAAAGGTGGGTAAGAGAAATTAATCTCTTCAAATTTCTTCTCAATGTTGATGAAGAAAAATGAGCTCCTTGTAGATCTTGAAGCTCCAATGGTGTGTTGAGGAGATTGAAGCTTGAAGCTTGGAGATCTTGTAGAAGTTTTTGTAGATCTTGAAGAACCATTTGTAGATCTTGAAATTTCTTCAAAATCTTCAAAGATCTTGATAGCTCCTTGGATGAAATCCTGGATCCACAAGCTAGGATCCTCTAAAAAAAATAGTCCAAGTAGCAAATGGCCACACAAGGCCAAGGAAGAACCTTGCTCTAGATACCAATGTAATGCCCAGGGCTATTATAATGGCGGTTACAAGGCTTTTATAATATTCCAATACAAAATAGTAGCTTTAACTAGCCTTAATAGCCTTGGAGATGAAGATCTTCTTGATGCCTTTGATGAAAAGCACTTGGAGTAGTAGTGTAGGGAGACTTGTGAGAGAGCCCAAAAGGACTTAGAGAAACAATCCCATTTCCAATTGTTTTGTTGGAGTGGGAGGTTCAGAATGAGCTTGCTTAGCTCAGACCCCCTCAATACACCCCTTGGGGAACTATCCCAACCATGGTTTCCATGGTGGGATGGTTCCTAGGCTTGGAGCCTATGTGGCAATTGTGTTGGGTTGGAAAACCCAACTTAGAACCATTCAATGGTTGTGTTTAGGATAGAGTAGATTGTAACACTTGTTTGGCAGTTTCTGATTGATTGGAATTCCAACCTTCAACATTCTCTTGGTTGAGTTGGAAATGTTCCAAACCTCCAAAGTTGAGGCTTGGCAAACCCAAACCAAGTTTCATCCCAACCAACTCAACCATCTTCTCCAACTCTTCCTTTGTCGAGAGAAGTTCTCAACAATTGACTTAGAGAGAGATCGATGGTTGTTAGCTCGGTAGTTAGGGTAATACGTTACAATGAGAAGGAAAGAAGAGCTACAGTAAGTCGAAAGGAAACAAAAAAAAAACATATGAGAGGAAAGAAGAGCTACTCGGGCGTGGGGCTTACAGCATTGGCTAGCGATTATAACGGTGGCGATCAGGACTGCTGACACGATTGCCGTCTGCTGCCAGTTCACCACTTTCGCCATACGCTCAACTGCAGATACCATGGTGAATGGTTGATGGTTGACGACGTACTTTCTATGTATATCTCGCTCAGATTTGTTACTGATAAGTGATACTGCCGCCTCGAATGTTAATGACCTTGCGTCTGTTTGAATTGCAGAAGTCTCAATAGTTTCGATTCGACTAGGACGAACCGCTACGATGACTGCTGCAATGCTGCTGTTGTGAACGCAGCTGTTTTACTTTTCGCGTCAACCAGAATAATCTTACCGACTCTAGCTTGACAACTCTATGCATCTGACAGAGGTACCTGTATCGTAAGATTCTTCACCGCATGGCATCACACATCCGCCTGTGAGTGAAGCTCTGCCTGCTTGCTTGTTCAAGTTCCCGCTTCTGCCGACTTGAATTCCAAGCCTAATCGGCATCTATCCTTATCAGCCGCGAGTACAGTTCGAGTTGAGTGGGACCAGCTCAGCTATCATCACCAACGGCCACGATGGAAAATGTCAGTCTCGTCTGGGCAGCTGATTGCTCATTGGCCAACCTTTGTGTGGCCTGTTTGCCAATGGGAGCTCGAGTGATTATCATGAGCGGGAAACACCCCCTAGAGGCGTACTACACTCGGTGGTGGAGAATGTTCTGCAGTCTGGCTCGCATACAGTCTACTTACATTTGATTGATTACTCTCAAAAAATGAAATGGCAATTGCCTACCTCACATTAACTACACAATGGTTGAGAAGGTCATTTGAGAACTCAAGAGAGCACATAATGAATCATGGCACATGACGATTGGGGCAAGGGGAGAAGGGGAGGAGAGGGGAGAAGAGTGGAAGGTGAGAATCTGACTTACACCCACCCATTATATGTGCATCTATTGGTACATACAAATACTTGACTTCAGCATGGTATTCCTGAGAATCCCGTACCCATTTACCACTCAAAAGCCAGTTCTACCACCACCACAACAACCCCCTTAGTACCTCTTGTGACCACGGTGGGTTCCAGCTGGCCACTGCAGTACCAATGGGGTACTGGGGTACGATGAAGGCACAAAAAACTGCTCCTGCGCTGCTCTCCACTCCTCTCCTGGCGTCAGCTACAGCTGCATCGCCCTTGTGAGCACGACAAGGCAAAAACTGACGTCAACATGCCTGAGCCCTGCTTAAGAGCTAATGGGACCTCTCAGCAAGCATAGTTGTCCCCGCTGAAAAGCCGCAGCCTGTACATACATATGTACCAGTACTTGACACTTTCATAAAGCCAGACCTGGTGGTTGCCTGTGGAGAAAATGAGGAGAAAGATATCCCCCTTCAGCGTTAGGTAGCCGTGCATTGAGAGTTTGGTTTACTCTGGCAAGAGCTTGCATTGCTGTGGCAGCGTATGCACAGCTGCGTTCAGAAACCTCTCCTCTACGTCAACACCATGACTGGCTGTATGATGGAAGCATTCAGGTTCTCCCTGTAAGCTGCTTCGAGGCTGGACACCCCAAACACGTCCAGCAGCTCCCAGCTCTCGAGCAGGAGGGGCATGCGGATGGGACCGTACACCCGATGCGCATTGAACACCAGCGTGTCGTTTCCCACTGGGAGCCCCAGGAAGAAGAGCCCTCCTGGCTTCAAGAGACCCTTGATCTGCGCAACAGGGAAGGGGGGAGGAGATGCGAGGGAATGGAATGCATGGTACATGCATCATGAGACGATGGTACATGCGATTTTTGAGTCGATTCAAAGGCCATGATGTGAGGAGATGGGACACTTGGCGCGCATTGAACACGCCACTGGGATCCCCAGGAGGAAGAGCCCTCCTGGCTTCAGGAGCGCCCTGATCTGCACTGCGGCGAAGGGGAGGAGGGGATGATGCCAGGGAATGGGGGAGATTCCAGGGAATGGGAACGAATTAAATGTGAGAAAGATGGTATGTGCGCTGAGTATTAAACGCCAGCGTGTCGTTACCCAGAGGGAGACCCAGGCGGAAGCGTCGTCGTGGACTGGCAAGCCCCTTGATCAGCACAGCCGCAAGGGGCCTGCCAGAGGATATGCCAGCGAAGGAAAACTGGGAGCTGGCCTATGAGCGTTGGGACCAGCGAAGTGAAGGAGGGGATGCCAGCGAATGGGAATGCATGAGATGTAAGAAGATGGTACATGCGTTGAGTATTAAACACCGGCGTGTCGTTGCCCACTGGGAGACCTAGGAGGAAGGGCCTCGCGGATTCGAGAGGCCCTTGATCTGCGAAGCTGCAAGGTGAGGAGGGGATGCCAGAGGCTACGGAAATTGTGAACGGACATGGGAGCATCTAAGGTCTGGGACATCTCAACCCAGAGCGTTAACACTCTGAGGACGTGGCAACGAGGGGAAAATGTCAAAGGACATGGGAGCACATGGCTTGGGAAGGATGGCAGGGCGTGGTGGGGACTTTTGAGGCGGCTCCAACGGCAGAAAGGGAGGAAATGCTTGAGGGCATGGCAGACGTAGAATGATGTGAGAGGAAATGGCTTACTAGGGGTATCAGGACATAGTAAGGGCACGCACACATCAGCTGACGCAAACATGTGGGAAACAACCCATGGAAACCGCACCCAGCCCACAGCATCAAATACCTCAGGGTAATTTACCTTCATCATTCTGAGCCGATCCCCATCCGGGTTTAGCGGATCGCCATATCTCCCCAGCCCATCGTGCTCCAGCGACGAATACGAAGCTACCACGTCAAAGGTCTCGTCTGAAGCGTCCAGCTCAGCAATATTCCACAGCCTCAACCCGGGATAATCTGCAACCGGTTTGTTAAAATCAACGGTTGTGATCGATCCAGCCTTAAAAGCCAAGAGAATCCCCTCAAGCCAAGGGATTTGACTCCCTACCACCAGCACCGTTTTCCCTTTTACTGGGTACTTGTCAAAAGCGTCGTAAAACGATAGGGTGCTATTGACTCCATAAGGGCAAACTTTCGGGGCTCGCTCCTCCGCCATACGCAGATAATTGTCGATTTGTTCGGTTGGCCAGACGAACTCCTTCGCTCCGGAATCGTACGAATCCATTCCGCGGAAATTCTCAACGGCTTGGATTGAACCGTTGACAGTGAACTCATCGCGGACGGACGGTCGGATGTACGTCCAGGGGATGGGTCCCTGGAGGCCGTAGTCCCGAATGTGGAATCTCGAGGGTTTCTGAGAGTCTTGCTGGTCACTGGCAGTGATGGTGCAGTCGTCTGATGGTCGGCTCGGACTGCCATTCCAAGAAGCCGTGTCTGCACGGCGCATCCCCGATATGAGTTGTTCAAAGGAATGAGGATGAAAACGTTAGGGATTTACGCGTTGAGACTAAATGTGGTATGAGAGTGTTATTACTACGTCATAGGAACAAAAAACATCAAGAAATTTAGTAGGGTTGCTCCCTAAGTGACAATGGGAAGTACTGAAGGGGATATGTGAGAGTAATACTATGGGCATTGTGGTCCTAAATGAATGAGCGGGTAACAAAAGATTGTGAGAGGAAAGAAGCGCGACGCGGGCGTCGTGGCTTACAGCATTGACTTGTGATTATAACGGTGGCGATCAGGGCTGCTGACACGATTGCCGTCTGCTGCCAGTTTACTACTTTCGCCATACGTTCTGCTGCAGCTAGCATGGTGAATGACTGATATCTGATGTACTTTTTATGATGATCTCGCTCGAATCTATCACTGATAAGTTAAACTGTCGCCTCGAATCTAACTGACCTTGCCTCGATTCGAGTGCACAAGTCTCATCAGATTCAAATCGTTCTGGAAGCACGCAGCGCAACGAAGACTGCTACTACTAGACTAGCAACGCAAGGAGATGACTCTAGCGATCTGACAAAGAAACCAGTTCATAGTTTCCATACGAATTTCTGAATCCCGAGCGTAAGGGTTGGAGGAGCTCGACAAATCTCTTCGCAAATAACCGTGTTCCGTGCGACCACAAAACGACATCTGTAACACGACTTCGCACTGCCGGTTTGATCTGACGAAAAGGAAATCCTTAAAGCGACGGTGCACATTTGCCACCCAAAACCCAGAACCCTGGCGAACTGTTACTGCGGATGGAAAGTGTCCGCACGAAATCATGGTCTTCGCCAGCCAGCACTTTCGCGCTGGCAAGCCTGGTTCAAAAAAAAAACTTCTGAACCCAACACTGCCAAAAGTTGCCCGTCGCTTTAAAAATGGGTGCGTCGGTTGCGATCAGCAACGGCAGATGGAGATGGCAGTCGGCGCTGTTGATTGACCAGCACTTGCCTAGCAGATACACTCTGCTCCGTGGAGTGTGCCTGTATAGAAGAACATGTAGCTTGTGTAAATTACACTAAGGCAGCTTTTAAAAATTACCCTTACAAATAAGAGAAAACATAATGATAAAGAAACCTTACTTGTAGGGCTTACTTGGGAAAACTACTCTGATTCAGGAAAACAGAATTAGTTGCTTCGGTAAAATATACCGTGGTCCTACTGTCAATGTGTAATAACAATGTTACGCTGTAGTGAGGTGCCTTTTAAGTGGTACAGCTCATAGGTTTGCACATTTGTACCCCATCCACTTTCTAGTTCACCCATTCCGTTGCTTCTACTCCTGAGATGGTATCATGAGTAGCCTAGCCTAGGGCCGCTCCGTCGCTCCGTAGTCGCTCTGTAGTCGCTCCGTCGCTCCGTAGTAAGCTCCCTTAAGTAGCGCGCGCCATCCAGTCAAGCGGCGCGCCCCACCCTGCAGAACAGAACGCGCCCCTGCAGAACAGCGCGCGCCACCCTGCAGAGCAGCGCGCGCCCCAGCAGAGTAGCGCGCGCTCCTGCAGACCAGCGCGCACCCATGCAGAATAGCGCGCGCCACCCTGCAGAGCAGCGCGCGCCCCTGCAGACCAGCGCGCACCCCTGCAGAATAGCGCGCGCCACCCTGCAGAGCAGCGCGCGCCCCAGCAGAGTAGCGCTCGCCACCCAGCACAGAGACGTACGCCCTTGCAGAGCAGCGCGCACCACAGCAGAGCAGCGCGCGCCCCTGCAGTGCAGCACGCGCCACCCAGCAGAGCAGCGCGCGCCTCAGCATAGAAGCGCGCGCCCCTGCCCAGGAACGCGCAACCCAGCCAGGATCGCGCGCCCCTGGCCAGACATGCGCGCCCCAGCCAGAAACGCGCCTCACGTACCCTCCTAGCCGCCCACACCTCCTCCTAGCCGCCCACACCTCCTTCTAGCCGCCTAAATCTCCTCCTAGCCGCCCACCACCTCCTCCTCGCCACCCACCACCGCCTAATCCTGCCCATTTTCGCCTGTCGCCCATAGCCGCCCTCAGTACGCCTTGCAGTCTGCTCCGCCCTTGCATCCACCAGCCGGAGGCCGCCAGTCACGCTCCTAGCCACCAATAGCACTGCCTGTGACCCACCCGTGCACACCGTCTTGTGCTCGACTACGGCCACTAGCACCTCTTGCAACGGCTAGCAGCCGCGGTTATTTTTCATGACGTAGCTTCGGTTTTGTGGCCCGCCTGGCGTTCCTAGCCCGCCTTGCCTACCCGGCCGTCCCTAGACTACTGTTTCTTAGTTGGTAGTTACTTGTCCCTCTCCAGCCATTCCGCGCTCCAGCCACTCCTCGAGCCCGTAGTTTCTAGCCAGACGTTTCTCGCCCCGGCCGTGCCTCACTCCAATCGTTCCTCGTTCCAATCGCTTCCAGCTCAGTTTGCTCCGTGCTCCGGCCGTTCCTCGCCTAGTTTCACCTGGCGCTCCTAGCTGTTTTCGCTCCTTGCTCCAGCCGCTCCCTGGGCCCTTAGTTTCTAGCCTGTCGTTTCCCGCTCCAGCCGTGCCTCACTCCAGCCGTTCCTCGTTCTAGTCGCTTCTAGCTCAGTTTGTTCCGTGCTCCGGCCGTTCCTCGCCTAGTTTCACCTGGCACTCCTAACCGTTCTCGCTCCTCGCTCCCAACTCAGTTTGCTCCGTGCTCCGGCCGTTCCTCGTCTAGTTTCACCTGGCGCTCCTAACTGTTCTCACTCCTCGCTCCTAGCTCCAGTCACTCTTAGCCTGCCGCTCCTGCACCCCGCTAGCCTTTACCATGGCGTCCACTAGAGTTCTCCAGCAGCAGGGACAGCAGCAGCGGCAGTTTCAACAGTAGGATCCACAGCAGCAGTGGCGCCTTCAGCAGCAGTGGCGCCCTTAGCAGCCGTGGGGGCCTGGTGTTTCGGGTAGCGTTGGCTTCATCAGCGGCCCAGCCAGCTGGGGGGCTGTCGCGGTGGTCGGGACGTCGGCCCCTGCCAGTACCGGATCCTGACTGGCCCTGGTGCTGGCACTACCTGCTGGCGTCCTGACCACTCTGCACACCGCTGCTACAGTCGCCTCGACGACCTTTACCGTGAGCGAGTCGAGGCCACCGATCTGGCCCGGTCTGTCACGTAGTGGTTACCATGTGTTTGATATGTCTATGAATGCTGCTTATTCCGTCACGTATGGGTCTCTTGGCTTGCATGTACCTAGCTTAGGACCTTTGCCTGTTGCTAGTGTAGGTACTTGCGTAGTCACTAGTCTAGCCATGACGACTGCTGTCGCGTCGCTCTCCTTCACGCTGGACTCAGGCGCGTCTTAGTGCTTCTTCTGCGACCACACCACTGTCACACCTCTTTCGGCTCCAGTCCTAGTTGCACTGGCTGATCCTACTTCAGGATCAGCAGTCGCTCGCACCTTATAGATCTCCCGTGCCCGGCTGTCCCTTCTGGTTTCCTCACTGGTCTCTACATCCCCTCGTTCTCTCGGAACTTGGTGGGTGTTGGATACCTTTAGGACCGTGAGATCACAGCCACTTTTCTTGCGCACGGGAGGACGGTGATCTGTACGGACGCTTCCACCGGGGCACTTCTTGCCACGTTCACCGAGGAGCCCCACTCAGGTCTCTTCGTTCTGCACACTACGCCCCCCCAGGTAGCAGAGTCCGGTCAGGTTACTGCGTCCCCCCAGGTTGTTGTGTCCACTCAGGTTGCTGTGTCCGGTGTGGTCGCTGCGTCTTGCTCTTGTCGTTCACTCTCTCACCCGACAGTCTTGTGGCACCACCGTCTAGGTCACCCGTCCCTCCCACGCCTCCGTAGTATGGCCAGCCAGCGTCTTGTCTCAAGTCTCCCGCGGGTCTTTGAGTCGCTCCCCCGTTCGCCTACGCCGCCGTGCACTCCTTGCGTCGAGGGTCAGCTGCGCGCCACTCCTCACTCCTCCTCCCTTCGTCCGGCCACCGCTCCCTTCCAGACACTCCACTTGGACGTCTGGGGCCCTGCCCCTCGTCTTGGGCCCGAGCGGGAGCGCTACTTCCTCGTGGTCGTTGACGACTTCTCTAGGTACACCACGGTGTTTCCTCTCGCGAAGAAGTCCGAGGTGACTTCAAAGCTGATCCGTTGGATCTTGGCCACTGAGGGCACTCGTGGTAGTCGCGTCAATTGTCTCCACTCCGACCGTGGGGGTGAGTTCTGCTCCGACGTACTTGCCGGGTTCTGCGGCGAGCAGGGCATTACACAGTCCTGGACGCTTCCGGAGTCCCCACAACATAATGGGGTTGCTGAGTGCCGCATTGGCTTGGTCATGGAGATCGCCCGCACCTCCATTATCCATGCCGGTGCGCCCCATTTTCTGTGGCCCTACGCATTCGCTACGCCGCCCACCAGCTGAACCTCTGGCCTCGTGTCTCACAAACAGGGGATTCACCAACCAGTCTTTGGACCGGGTCACCTGGTGTTGCGGCGGAGTTTCACGTCTGGGGCTGCCTTGCGCTTATCCGCGACACCTCTGCGGATAAGCTCTCGGCTCGCAACCATCCCCTGTGTCTTCCTTGGTTTCCCGGTGGACTCTCCTGACTTTTCGTTTCACCACCCGCCCCTCCACCGTTTCCTCGACTCCCGTGACGCCATGTTTGACAAGTCCGTGTCCTACTACACCCGGTACCCCTGTCGAGGTCTCCCGGTCCCCCCTCCTCCTCTTTTCCTCGCACCCTCTCCTCCTCCTGCTCCCGCTCCTCCGGTACCCCCGCTCCCCCCTGGTCCTGCCCCATCAGGTGTGTCTCACGCTACCCCTCTACCCTCGGTCGCGCGTCAGGTAGTGTCTCCCTCCCCGCAGTCCTCCTCACAGTCCCCTCAGCAGCCTTCGGCACTTCCGCGACAGGTTACTGTGGACTCAGGTCGTGTTGGAGCTGGAGGTGCTGCCGCTGAAGGTACCCGGTCTGGGGGTGCTCGTTCGAGGGGTGCTGGAGCTGGAGGTGTTGGCACTGGAGGTGCTAGTTCTGGGGGTGTTGGTGCAGGAGGCGCTGGTACTGGAGGTGCTAGTACTGAGGAGATTGGTGCTGGAGGCACGACTACTGAGGCGCCCACTATGCCTCCCCACCGCTACGACACGCGTCTCCAGGCTCTTCGCCGAGTTGAGCGCGAGGAGCAGGAGCAGTTGGAGCAGGAGTGGAAGGAGCTGCGGCAGTTGGACCAGCAGGAGCAGCAGGAGCAGCAGCAACAATAGCAGCAGCAGCGGCAGCAGCAGCAGCAGTCGCCACAGCCGCCACTTTTGCAGCAGCTGTTCCCACCAGTGAGTGGCATTCGAGCCCTTGGTTTTCCCTCCTCTCCTCCTGTCCACTCCCAGCCTCCTACCGCGTACGGTCCTACCTTTCCCCCTCCGGACCCGGCTCCGGCTGTTTTCTCTCCTCCTCAGTCACAGTCGCCTCCTCCTGTTCGCCCGCACGACTGGACCGCTCGTTGTCCTCCGCGTGCTCGTCCCTCGTCTCCTTTTGACGACCTCCACACTGTCTTGTTTCGTTCTAGTCCTCGTCGTGCTCCGCCTGTGTCCGTTCTCCCGCCACCTCCTGCGTCGTCTCTCACTGTCTCCTTTCACAATATCACTGACTTCTATCGTGCTGCTCGTCCTGTTGTCTCGCGTGTTCTCGCCTCTCTTGTCACCGACCATCGTGCCTCTCCGTCGTCTGTCTCGGCTCTTACTGCCGCTGTTGCTGAATTTGCTGCCACCCGCCGCCTTGACTTTGCCACGCGTGTAGTGGCTGCTCCGCCTGCCCGTCCTCTGTCCGCCGGGGGTGAGTTTGCCCTTGGCTGTAACGTCCTAGATGACATGCAGTTTGAGCTGGAGTTCTTGGCAGCCACTTCTCCCTCTCTCTGTGCCATGCTGCTTTCCCCTGAGGGAGATCCTGACGCCCTTGAAATTCCTACTTCTCGCACGTACCGCGAGGCAGTGTCAGGACAGTGGGCCTCTTAGTGGAAAGCGGCCATGGACTCAGAGATGGCGTCTTGGAGATCTACAGGCACCTACGTCGACGCAGTTCCCCCTCCTAGGGAGAACATAGTCGATGGCATGTGGATCTTCAAGGTGAAGCGGCCGCCTGGATCGCCGCCTGTCTTCAAGGTGAGAGGTTTCAGTCAGCGCGAGGGAGTTGACTTCTTCCAGACCTTCGCCCCGACCCCGAAGATGACGACTCTTCATGTGTTACTTCACGTTGCAGCACAGCGAGACTACGAGCTGCACTCCCTCGAATTCTCCACTGCCTTTCTCCAGGGCAACCTGCACTAGGAGATCTGGTTGCGTCGTCCTCCTAGCTTCCCTGGCACTTTCCCGCCTGGGACCCAGTGGAGCCTGAGAGGACCAGTTTACGGTCTCCGCCAGGCGCCCCGTGAGTGGCACGACACGCTGCGTACCACTCTTCGTCCTTCGTCCGCCGACCCGTCGCTGTTCGTTCATTCTGGGCCCACACATTTCTTCGTCCTCGTCTACGTCGACGACTTGGTCTTTGCTACAGCAGATAGGACCGCTCTTGCTGAGGTGAAGTCCAAACTGCAGAAGAGACACACGTGCACCGACCTTGGTGAGCTGCGCCGCTACCTTGGCTTGCAGGTCACCAAAGACAGAGCCGCTCGCACCATTACACTCTCACAGTCACACATGGTGCAGAAGGTCCTTCAGCGGTCCAGGCTTCAGCACTCCACCACACAGCCCACTCCTCTTGCCGTTGACCACAGACTCATCGGCCCTTTTCTCGATGAGCCCTTTGAGCCTAGTGGTCCCTACGCAGAGCTTGTGGGCTGCCTCATGTACCTGATGACTTGTACTCGTCCGGACCTCGCTTTTCCTCTCAGCGTCCTCTCTCGCTTTGTTGCGACTGGGAGACACCGTCCTGTTCACTGGACAGCTGCTGTGAGGGTGGCGAAGTACCTGGCGACTACATCAGGCATGGGGCTTGTGCTTGGAGGGAGACGGCCAGTTGTTCTAACCGGTCACTGCGACTCTTCTTACGCCGACGCCGTAGAGACACA